TCCTATTCCATATCCAGCTTCTCATAGGGAAGATAGTACCATTTGGAGGTTCTGTAACTTTGAATGGTAGCTGCTTATAATGATCAAACTCGCAAAAAAACTCAAAACAAGCCAAACCCCAAGTTCCAACATTAGAAAAAGCCAAAACATGTTAAATAGGCCCAGCTCTACCAGGGTTTGCCAACCTGTGGCACAGGTGCCAGAAGTGGTACAGGCAGCCTGTGTGTGTGTGTAGCATGCAGCAGGCTGGGGAGGGGACAGAGAGCACTGTGGCCAGCAGGGAGCAGAAAGTAGAGCAACAGATCAGGCAGGAAGCACAAGGTAGGAAGTCAAAAGCAGAGAAACAGGTTGGGTAGGGAGTAAAGGGCAGGGAGCGGAAAACTGAGCTGCATATGGGATGAGGGAAGAGGATCAGAGTAATACCATGAGGAAGGCACATGTATGCCAAAAGGTTACCCCCCACTAAGCTAGAGCATAACCCACATAATCCTTGCCGTTTCCTCTTACTTTCCTTTTCTGTTCTTTCAACTCCTCGTGTTCCTGTCTGTCTTCCTATGCTTTCTTCCTATATTCTCTTTGCCTCCTATACCCATTTTTTTTTCTATGCTGGGAACAGCCTCATCACTGAGCCAAGCCAAGCTCCAGCCTTTCCTGTTTTTGAACCTGGAAGTCAACTTTTTTGCAAAGCATTCCAACTGACTTCATTCCCACTGCTCCACACACGTTTTCACATCACACCTGCTATGGCTTTGTCTTGTATGCTTGGCAGGGCAGGGATTTGTTACTTGTGTGTATCCGTTGCATGGTACTGTGGATACCATTTTATTCAAAATAATTAATAGCAGACAAACCAAAACTGCCTTTCTCCCTGGGCATTGCATAAATTGTTGCCATGTTCCAAAATCTGTACTAATTTAGGAATATTAAATGAGAGGTTAGCAATTCAGAACATATTTAATTTTGGCTCCAGTGTTATGAAAGAATCATTGGGAAAGGAGGTCAGAGGGATCTGGACACATTAGCCTACAATATGCAGATGAGAAGCAAAGAAGAAAGGCTGGATAATAATTTTGTGCAGCAGAAAGCACTCTAATTCCCTGAAGTTAGAATGCAATGTGCTATTTAACAAATTTCTATAGCAGCTCCTCTAAAACCACAAATGTGTTCCTGTCAAGAGTTTTGATAGATTATGCTCTAAAGGGAGGGAGAGAGCAAGCCTGGCTATTGTTCTGTAAATAAAGATGCATAATATGAAATTTGATCACTTCTGCCCTTTTGTGTTGGCCATGCTCTTGTTGATTAAAGTTTTTGCATACTTTACTTCATGCACACAACTCCATGTAGGACAACATTGTTTAAGTAACAAGGACTAAGTTAGTTGTCTTGATATGATCCAGATAAGGCCAGCTGGGCTAGTTAGTGCATGTAGTGCTTTGCTAACAGCTGGTTCTTATCTGAAAAATAAAGGGCTCTGATGGAGGTCCTTTCTCGTGTTAAAAATACTGGCTCGTTTTTATTTAACTTAAAAAAAAGGAGAGAGAGAGAAAACACAGCATGGAGCATTTTGTGTGTAATTTGATTGTATTTGTTCTAAGGTAGTTAGAGTGCAGGGCTGGTCCCAAAAGTGGAACTGTAGTGTCAAGCTTTTGCTACCACTACTAGCAGTCATTGCAGTAAAGTATATGGGAGCCAGTAGCAACCCTGCTCCTTTCATAGCCCTGCCTCCACTGAAAGGAGAGAACTTCTAAGGTTTTTGTTGATATCAGCTACCTGTTATCTATTAAACAAATTAACCTATGGAAGATAGTACTGATGGCAGCTTAGGCAGGAATGAACTTGCGTATGGGGAAGAACAGTGCTTTTATTTGCACTACAATCTTGGTTTTTGCTATCCATTGCTTTGTCTTGCTTGCAGCATTTGCTCCAGCTTTGACGTTTTTTTACACAAACTTTCTTTAAATAGGGATAGGCAAAAGATCTTTTTAAAAACACTTTGTGTGCCCCCTCCAGTTTTTGTTAGTTTATAAAAGGCATTGTATCTTTTGTTAAATATTTGTGTAGTTGGCTGTTGATGTCTTTATTTAAATCTCTCTTTTGAGATGCTAAGCAGAAACCAAAAAAGGCTTTCCCATGAAAGTGGTAAAATACATGGTCCCTGTTACAAAGCACAACCACCTAAACACAATGATTCTCTTGTTTAATCTTTTGTGTACTGCAGTTTACCAGTTTACCTGGTGCGAATTTCTCTGCATTTCTTTTGGATTCCGAGCTTTCATTTATTCTGTTTATAATAATCTAATGGGACTGTGAGACAAATTATTTTGATAGTTGCTGTCTGCAGAGATGAGCTGTCACTTCAAACTGGTCTTATTATGCGGCTCAGTAAAAAGCTGGACAGTTGTTACATAAACTTTGTAATATAGTACTTTCTTTCTGGAAAAAAAAATAATTTTATTGTACTAATACACTAATCTATTTGGATCAATTTTCAGACTTTCTTGAAAGGAAAGTGAAAAAAAAAATCCATTTATCCTTAATACAGTTAGTGTGAAAGTTTAAATTCCTGAATAGTCTCATGGCTTTTTTATAGCATTTCAAAATTTAACATTTTAATTCTTCCTTCAAATTTGCCTTTGATTTCTTCACATCAGAGGCTATGAATATTGTTTAATTTACTTTTCAGTAAAGCTGTCACTTGTAATCTGCAATTTAAAAAAACTAATAAAACAAATCCTCATTTCACAATTTAAACCTTATTGAGTCTAATTCACTTGCACTCCAAGTTTATTATTCTCTTGCAGCTTGACGTGTCTCCAATTGTAATTGTGTTGACCCTTCGATGCAGTAAATCTCCGCAGTGCTTATCAAACTGGGAAAGATAAGTCTAGAATTCGGAAATTCATTAAATATCTCATTTATATTAAAGAGATGATAGCTTTGAACAGAAATAATAATTTTTACAGACTTGGTGACCCCTGATTGTGGTCTCATCTACTTTGGAATGCAGCGATTTTCAAATCCCCACCCCCTCTGTGTACCTGGCATTAAGCCAGCGACCAAATGTCATAAGATATTAGTCCATTGGGTTGACTTCAAAGCCTCTCTTGTGAAGATTGTAGTTAAGAGTGCTCTGTAGCCCTCAAAGCAGATTTTTTTAAAGACTTGAATAGTGTAAATTTCTTTGTCATGCTGGAATCATGGATAGTACACATGGCTTTTTTAAAAAAAATGTTGCTTATTTTTGTTTTATGGATGGGAAACTGTTCTTTTGCTATTTAAAGAACAATCCTAAGAAGTGCTAAGCACTCAATTTCAAATTGACTTCAAAGAGATCTCCATGTTCTCAGTACCTTGCAGATTCTGCCCTTTAGCTTCTTTCACTAGATTTTTACACGCACACAAGCACATGCTATAGGATTCGTATCAAGTTATTGTGCATGAATTCTAAACAAGTATATACATGTTAGATAGCAAAAAAAAGCCTGTAATTCCTTGTTCTATATCAATTTAACAGTTTTTTTTTTTCCTTTGGAGTTCTGGATTCAAGTTACCAAAAAAAAAAAAAAATCGTAAATGAAGTGAACATAGTCTCATTCAGGCCTATCATAGGTATTTTGTGCATAAGTTATTATCACTCAGTAACTGTCGGGGTGCTGAAGTTTGTGGTTCAGGCACATCAACAAAGCTTTGTAAGCAGAAGGATTAGAGATTTGGGAAATGGATAATTGAATGTGAAGTCTTCCATAGCACGAGTGACTTACAGCTAGTTATTGGCCTACATAAAATAAGTTGGGAGTCTCAGTCAGACCTCCACTGGACAGGAATTTGCATCGTTCGTGGATCGTTGTTGTCAGTCTCATCATAGCTACTTGTTGTTAAAGGGAAATAAATATAAGATAAACAGCATCTTACCACCACTGATGTCAAATTATTAGGTTTTTTTTTTTCCCCTTTAAGGTTTCTACTTTCCATAAACTCTGATTCTCCAGAATCCAGTGAAAATCCTTTTTGAAAATTCAGCCTGCTTCTAAAAGAGTAGGAAAAACATAGGGTCAGGCATTGGGTCAGTAGAGGACACTTCTGATGGCGGGCAGCTTGGAGCAAATGAGAGAAAAATAACAAAATCCCATGGCTAAACAATATCCCTTCATCTCCTTCCCACCACCAAGGAGACTGGGCCCTTCATGCATGAAGGAATTCTGGCTTAAGGACTCTGGCTCGGCAGCAGTCCTTGGCTTGTATTGTCTTCGGGGCCTGCAGGGGTTTGGAAATGCTGATTTTTTTTTTTTTTCATGTGAAACTGACAAGGAGGCTACATCAGGCCCTGAAAACAGGGACATTCCCAGATTTAGTGAGCATGTGAAATCTTTTTACCCTAAGGGGAGGAAGGCTGAGCAAAGAGTTCAGCATAAGCAACAGAAAAACAATTCCAAATTAATACCAAGCCTGATTTGTATCACAGCTACCAAATCACTGAGCATTCATGTGTGTCAGTACTAATGTGAATTGCTGGGAGTTTCATAGGAGGATCCCTTGATGACTACATGTGAAAGCAAATTGCACCTTTCAAAAAGGGTCAGTAGCCTGATTCCAGATGAAGTCCCTGTTCCTTGCTGTTGTGAAAGAGGTTTTTTCTTTCAGATACCCTGTCAGTGGGTGAGAGATGGTCGAACAGTCTGTCAGAAAATATTGAAACCAACAAAACCATCCATTTAAAAAAAAAAAAAAAGTGGAACAAAGAGACCATAATTTGACACTTTTTCTCTACCTATTTTCTGCTGAAGGGGTTGAAATCTGACAAGACACCCTGGGAGGTGCAGAAGAAAGTGACATAGAAAGTTGGTCATTAAGCAGAGCTGTCATTGCAAATTATTTTTGTCCAGGGTGAAAAGTTCTAACTCATTTGGTGCCCAGCCGGGTCCAGGCCCCAGGCAAGTTGTTATAGTTCCCCCATGCTGTTAAATGGAGCTTCAACACTGATTTTTCTTCTCTCTATGCAGTTGGAGTCACCTGGGAGCCCCCCAGGGCCAGAGCTGCCTGTAGAGACTATACTGGATGACAGGGAACGCAGGATTTCCCATTCGCTCTACAGTGGGATCGAGGGGCTCAGTGAATCACCCACAAGGAATGCTGCACTAAGTAGGATAATGGGTGAGTCGTATAGGCTCTGCTAATCATCTCTGGTTTTTGTCCTTTCTCTGGTTCCCTGAGGGATGATGAAGGTATTATTTATGTGGGAAGCTGGCAGTGTGAAAGGTGTGTGGTGACCAGTTTAAAGCCTACCTTAAAAAAAAAAAAAAAAAAAAAAAAAAGTTTCACGTACATCTTCTAGATAGCTTGATGTGAGAGGGCAAGTCAATAAATTGACTGATAAAATGAGCTTCAGAGCCCATAACAGGTGATAGAAAAAATAACAGGCATATTCAGACTTTTTCAGTGGTTGACGTGGGATGCTATGTTGTGTGTTTGTTCTTTGTGGACAGACTTCATTCAAATCAAGTCACTGACTGCTGCTATAAACAATTTATTGTTATATTTCAGTGCTCATTCACCTCCGCTTTAACCCATCTTAAAAACAAAACCAAAATAAAATAATGTAATCTCAAACCCATTTATGCTTAATAGGGTATTTGCTTATTTCAGATGAATTTCTGCTTTGCAAGGCAAGAGTTTTAAAACCTGATAAGTAATTTTATGCATCCTTTGTTTGGATTCCATGCCATACTGTCTGCATGGCCCCCAGTGGGTAATGAGGTTATTAGCAGTTGCTCTGCAGCAGTTCAGCTTTATACTAACAGATCTAGTTAATAAAGACTTGTCTTGCCACAGGAGTGGTTGGATTTACTGAGCAGCATGGGATTAGCTTGTAAGGATTTTCAAGTTTAAAACACAAAAAGCCGATTAAAATGGCACCTGACATAAAATATTTCTGCTGCTACTTGAGGTGCAAGTCTGAAACTCAAAATGTAGCCATTAAATCCACTACCTCTTAGTACACCTTATACATTTCTACTGCATTGCAATTGGAGAACCTGTTAAAAAGTTGACATGAAATAAGAGCGAATTTAGCTTTCAGTCCCTTAGGATGGGTATTCAGCTTTAGAAGGTGGAAATCCTCCTTTTGGGGCTTTTTGTTGGTTATCACTTTCTAAGCACGTTTTCTGTATACTTTCTGAAGTAGCAAAATGATACTTTATGAGAAGGTTACAAAACGCTATGTTTTATTTTGTGTGATTTTGTCAGTTATGCTTTACTGTTGCCTGAACATACGCAGCAAAGCCAAACCTTAAAAGAAAACCAGAAAGATCTGTTCTGTTACATTATGGATTTATGCTAGCTGAAGGAGGAGGAGAATGGATCCAGTTGTCACTAATCCATGAAATGTCATCCCGGAAAATTCATGTCCATCTAAAGAAATCAAATTTTTTTTATATTTACTGAAAATCTTAAGGAATTAAGAATAAATCTGGTTGAAATCTCTAGCGCTGTTGTTTCAAAGAAAATAGTTAATTTTCTTATGGTTTTAGGTTTTTAGATAAAATATTTGCACAGCACTAGCTATGCTTTTTTCCATCAGCATGCAGAGGATTTACATGGAAAATCTGTATGAGCATTAAAGAGTTATCACGTAAACACCTTGTCTAGCAATGGGAGAACAGACCTCAGGAGAGTTTGTATGCATGCATGTCAAGTGAGGCAGTGCAGTTTCATATCAAAGGAATATCAGATTTGCCATACCAAAGCAAACTAGTGGTTTGTCAAGTCTGGTATCTTTCCTTCAGCAGCAGCCAGTAACTGATGGTTCAACAGAAGGCAGAAAAACTTTTCCAGTATGTGTATAGGGGTAAAAATCCATTTCAACTCTTGCCAATGTGCATCTTATGCTTTTAAGCATAAGATTTGATTTTCTCTTTTTCAACTGTACTCCAAAGGTGTGCTCAAGAGAGTTAGAACCATGCATAAACTGCTTAAAATTGGTTCCATCATAAATCTCTTATGTGTTTTGGGTGACCAGTATAACAAAGTTTAAACCAAAAGGGTGATCTGGATTAGCTTGATTAGAAACTGGTTTTGTTGGAACTGAGGTTGGCTCTGACGGCGTAAATCAGCATCGCTCCACCATGTTTAAACCTGCATTTGAAGGCTGCTGTTCCATTATTTGAAACTTAACAATTCTGGATACCTCATGCAAGCCCCATCTAACCAATCTTTTTTCTTTGCTAAACTAAAACCCTAGTTTTTAAGTGTTCTATATGTGTATGTACATAACAGCATAGCACAAAGGTGCTTGGATTATCTGTTGCCACAGAAGTAGTAAGCACACAGCCATTTGTTAAGCACATGCATGAGCATTATCTGGCACACTTAACATCCTATTAGTATATAAAACAGGACAATTCCCTACAATTTTCACTTGCCTTGATACAGCAGTGGAAGCTCTTCACTCCGTCTATTGTCTCAAGAACATTCTTTCTCTGTAGGGCAATCTTGCAGGGCTGCTGCTCACCTTGACTTCTTACTGCTCCAGCCTACTCAATAATGGCTTTGTGAATGAAGTGAAATTATAAATATCCTTAGCAGAAGGTGCTGCTGCTTGCACAGAGTTGCAACAAAGCTAACAGAAGCATAAAATTTCTTCTTTCTAAAAATTAATATGAAATTGGAAAGGGTATTTAAACCTCCTGTGCTCATTATTCTTCTAGTAGACACTGACAGAAAGAATCAACTTGTCCAAAACTTGCTGAGACTGAATAAGATGCATCCTCTTGGGAGTAAGAGTTTAGAATTAAGATGACAATTTTTAAATATTCTTTTTAACAATATATAGAACACTTTGATCATCTGAACCAGGTTTCATGGGACTGCAAACATTCCTGGTTTGGTTTTGTTTGTTGACTACTTTTCTATATGGTTCCTCTGGCTCATAGGTTTTATTATCCCTTTTCATTATCCATATATAGAAGCAGATATATGGAGAGAGGGAGAAATGCTTATTTATTTTTACCCTGGGAAAAGAGTTTTGAAATGTGAGCAGATTATTTCTATTGCATTTTTAAAGAGAATGGTAACTTTAACCATCTACCTTCATTACCTTCAACTGACCCCCAGTTATCTTTCCTGCTTGATGCAGGGGGCTGGACCTGATGATCTTCTGAGGTCCCTTCTGGGCTTACAATCTATGAATCTATTATAAGAAATATCTGTATCTGGTGTGTTTTCAGCCTATCCAAAATTAATTTGAAAATACAAGTATTTAACACTGTCCTAACTTGCTTGTCGCCCTGATTAAAAATGGAAGACTTTTTCTGGTGTACTACAACTATTTATTTTCTATTATGCAGCTGATTTCCACAGATATAAAGTTGCTTTCTGTCTATATTCTTGTTATTGTGCCAACAGCTTAGTACAATCATGGCACAAGTCTTACTACTTTATTTGTAGTTTAATGACTTGCTGCTTGCTTATGAACGTGGCAGATTTTTTTTGCTAAAGTTCACTAAGTAGAACTTTATTTATTTATCAAGAATGTGGACAGAATAACAATGACATTAATATATTATTTTGTTGGGATGGACTACAGTAGCAATACTACCACTACAAAAAAAAAAATAGACAGAATCTAATTTTCCCAGAAAAGAATTTAACTGAGACATGGTCAGTCACAAGTATACATCCTTACAAAAAAAAAAATTCCTGGGCTTTGTAAAGACCACTTGCAGCCAGGACCTGTTTATATGCCATCTAAAAATAGCTTTTATTTCAACATACCAATGTTGTTTATCAATTTAAGCAATGAGAAGGTGTTGCCTTACTAAATGACCAAAACTTTTTCTACAACACCTTTTTTCCTAAGAAATTTCCCATTTGTGTACTCACCATCCCAGTTCTGTTCTGTTTAGCTTGAGACCTGATAACCTGAAGTAATATGGTTGCAGATCACTTTTAAGTAAAGAAGAAACTTTTACTTCAAAATCTAACTCTTCATGCAAACAAGGAGGAAAACGAAACTGGAGATGTTCTTTTCTCTCTTATTATATAGTTCTGCGGATTCTGTAGAATTATTTGCACTTCATTACAGGCCGCTAATATTTGCGTTCATGCAGCATTTAGAAATTAACAATATTAAAACTCTTTTTGGCCTAATCATCATTTTTTTTCCATTTTGTTGGCTTCAATACTCATGGAAACCAACTTTCACTCTGGGATTAGTATTAGGTTTCTTCCTTGTTAATTAAAAAAATGTGTGTCCTAAAGTTACATTTTGAGCTTGCAAAGTTATGGGATTTCTTTATACAGTTAATAACGCACACAAACTGGTTGTTAGGATTCACTTGCTAAGTCATGGCAAAATGGGGACATACATTTCTTCACAGAGGGAGACTTAAAGGCTCCTTGTGTTCAATTTTTACAGTGCCAAAATGTCTGTTTGGGTCTAATCCTAAAAAAAATGCTTGGATTCAAACAACCTTCATCTGGGAGCTGTGCATAAAAGTCTGTCTACTTAGAAATCCCTTTGAAGAGAAAGCACCAACAGCATATGAATGAGGTCAGATTCAGTAACATGAATTGGTCCTCCAAGTCCAGTATCGTATATGAAACAAGGTCATTTCTAATAGTGTAGCAGAAAGCATCCTTATAGTTTGGGTTCCAAGAGTGATAAGGTCTCCTTGGATATATGAGGTACTTTTGGTTGTGCTGTTGTATCTGCTTTTTGTGTAATAGTTTGTTTCTGAGGAGCTTTCTTTATATAACTCTTTCACTCCAAGCCTGGATTATTCTCTACTCGGGTCTGGAGGCATAGTTATCGCAAAGCTTCCTTCAGTGTTTTTGGCTGTTCAGATCTGAGAATTTCCATGGGTCT